TCTTCTCTTTGTTTCTGAAGCGAAAGGCACACGGGGCAGAAAGGTCATTACATCGTAAAAGCTTCAGGCGACGTCATGGAATTCTCAGAACGAGCATGCCACGGCACAGCAGAGCCACGCGCTGGCAGAGGAAGTTACCGATGGGGTGATTAATACATGACTGCCCTGTGCTGCATCCCTGTGTCCCCGTGACCAGGGCAGCTGGTCCCGGGACGCCTCCTCTGAGCCTTTCCATTCTGCTACACAGAGCAGGGGAAGTTTCAAGACCCTCTCAGGGAAATCTATGTACTGGAATGTGCCTGACATTCCTCTCAGACTCCGGGGAAGGACTTAACTAACGTGCATTTTCCACAGCTTTTTCCATGTCATGGTCAGGAGGGAAGCTGTGGGGCAATTTCCGTGTCAGTGTGAACCTCAGCATCCCCCAGTCATCTGCAGGACCTCCGGGAAGTGGTCATACCCGCAGACAGCTTCCTGTCAACTGAGGAAAGGGATTGAATGGTCACCAGGCAGCAGCCGGGAGGCAGTGCACGGCCACACACGATGGAAGGCCACTTGTGACAAATTTGTTACTATGTCTCTTGTCCCTTTCCAATTCAAATGGGGAATGTCTTTACTCGGCACCAAACAACACAATCTGTCTTACAGAGCAGAAGGCACTGCACCAGCTGAGGTACAATAAACGTGAACTGCTCCCCCACACCCCAGGCACAAAACGTTCTTATGTTACAGAAATAATGAAATTCTTTCCTACCTTTGCAAACACCAAAGGGGGGGAAATCTCTCAAATCCTGAAACTCTCAGCAACAGAGAAATTCCAGCAACCCCTCAGAGATAAGGCAAGACAAAGGCAAATTCCCCAAGGAAACTGCTTCCGAGAAGTGATATTTACGCAGTGACCACCATGACCAGTCTGACTCCAGGGACCAGAACAGCCGGACCTGGAATGCGACCTGGCTGGGAGCACACACCTTTGCCCGAGGCTGGCCACCTGCCAGCCTACCAGCAGGCCTGACGTCAGGGTGGGTGGCGCAGGGCCAGAGCTGACATGTGGGAGCCACTGAAGGGCAGCAGGGCAGGCCATTGGGCCATCTTTCATGTCTGGCCCACCCCACCCTCGTGGTAGCCATTTCTGGGCCTGCTGCCTGTGTAGTCTAACAAGCCTTAGGAGACTCTGCGTTCCAAAGGCAGTCCAAGTGCCTCTGTTTGGCCTGCCTTGTTAACTTGGAGACATTCTCAGTCTTTCTTTCATTTCTTACTCCAAACCCCCCAAAAAACAAACAAACAAAAATCAGTTTTAAATCAAGACCATGAGGGTGGACAAGGAGGCCTCCCTCCTGGCACCTGGCGAGCCGATGAACACGTCTCACTCTGCTCATGACATTAAATCCCTGCGTGAAGGTTGAGGAGCCAACCTTGGCACTCAGAGGAAGCAGAAGAAAATATACCGTTTCTGTGTTTTTGTTTTGTTTTAAATTTTCTATAGGGTGTGTTTGCTCACTGGAGAGAGACAGGGAGAGAGACGGAGAGAGAGAGAGAGAGAAAGTGAGAAATAACCTCCTAGAGGGGATGGGCACACTGCAATCCCTTCTCTTCCACTCTCTCTCTGGATTTGGGGGATGCAGGTACATGCTCCCAGAGTGCTCCACTCCCCCAGATACTGGTGATGGTCAGCCCAGCCCTTAACAGCTGCTGGCACTGTCATAAGGTTGCATATCTTAACCTGCTTAATGCTTCTAAGATCCATCTTTCCATATGGAGACAGTGAGGCCCAGAGAAGTTAAGTCACTTGCCCGTGGCTGAACAGCTGGCCAGTGGGGAGCCTGCACTTGAGCCCCAGCCAGCCAGGTCCACAGCCAGATGCTGACTAACACGCGCCAGGACCTCTAGGGAGCGCATGGCTGTAATTTGTGTTACTCACAGACTCCTGTATTTTGCTTCTGGACTTTTGCAGTATGGAAATTATAGTTTATGGTATTACCTCCAGGTCCAGAAAGAAACCAGTGAGTGGAATAAAACATGTTGGTTTTCATGTGGAAGCTTAGAAGCCAGGGAGCTGGAGAAGGGTTGCTGCGTGGCTGAGGGGCTGGTGCTGGCTGTGTCCTACAAACCTCTTCCCAGCTCTCTCTTCCTCGGACGTAAGAGACATGCACGAGGACTGTCAGCCCCGTCAAGCCCAGGCTCTGTCCCCGCTGCTCCATGGCAGGGCCCTCTGCTCAGTGATGTTCAGTGGCCCTGATACTCCTCTAGTTCTCACTCTCTCACTCCCCAAGGTTCAGACTGAGCCCCCACACGCTCCGCGTTTCCTATCTTAGATATCTTGTCGTTCCTCACCGAGCCATCTTTTCCACATGGGCCAAGCCCCATCTAAGCCTTCAGCCCTAACCCTCCTCCTGTACCCCAAAACCACTGATGAATACCGGCACTCAGCAAGCCCAGAGCCCTCAGGAACAACTTGCTTTTCCTCCCAAGGCCACCCCTCCTTTGTACCACATGCCTCTCCACTCCAGCTGTACAGTGGAGAGTAGTCCCAGGAGGCCAGCCTCCAGCACCCCCGACTCCCATCTCTCTGTCCTCACAGCTGGCACCACCATGACTCATGAGCTGGTCCCTGCTCCTCTCTGTCTCCTCCTGCCTTGCACAAAGCTGTCCACTTCTGTTCTTGGGGTACCACTTCCTCTATGTCAAGTCTACAGCTGACTCAGAGCCCTTGGCCTGGCATCAAGTCCTCCATGGTCTGGCTGGGGTCCTCCCCTAGACCCACCCCTGAGGGTCCCTGGCAGCCTGACCCACCTGAGGAGGTTTCCCCTTGGCAAGTTCTGCTCTCGGGCCTGGATGCCGCCCGTGGTGAGGCTCAGCCTCTTCGCCACGTCTGGCCTCCCCTCGACGAGGCTGCCCTCTCGGGCCCGGCCCGGGGAGGTGCCGTACCGCTCCTCCAGACACCTCAGGGGCACTGTCCGATTGATGGGCTGGAAGATGATGGCGCCGCTCTGCTGGGAGATGGGCCGGCGGTTGCCCACATAGCAGCGCACCAGGCCGGGGATGGAGTCGAAGCTCTCTGTCTCGAACTGGTACTGCACGCGGCTGTAGGCCTCGCTGAGCCGTAGAACCGTCCGGTGGATCTTGAAGTGCTGAGCGAGGTTCTTCCACTGGCAGGTCAGGACAAAGTTTCCAGGGCTGGACAGAGAGTCGCGGACCAGGAAGTCGCCATCTCGCTGCACGAGATTTTCAGACACCTTTGGGACAAAACAGTGAGTGAGGAATAGGAAAGGCAGACTGACCTTCCTCACAAAGCATGTTGCTCCCCACCCCGCTGGACCAGGGCTACTATGTCAGCCCTGCAGTTGTTCATTAGTTTCTCAAAAACCAAATTCACAGAAGATCCATCATGCACTCGAGAACTTTGTACAGACCACCTGCTCTGTGCCAAGGGCCACTGGCAGGCACTGGGAAACAGCCATGAGAGAAGCAAACAGGGGTCCCGCCCTCGTGGGGCTTGTGTGAGTGGGGAGTTTCTCTTCAGTGAGGATAAATGAGCAGCAGGCCTGGTGAGTCAGATATCGTGAAGTTAAGAAGAAAGCAAATCAAGAGGCAGAAAGAAAATGCTTGGGAGCTGGTCTCACAGCTCAGTGGTTAAGTACGGCACAAAGGAAGCCGGAGCCCAGGTGGCCGACCAGGGTTCAGAGCAGAGTTCTGGCTCTGAACTTAAAAGAGACACCCGGCATATGCGTTTGCGTGCATGCTCAGGATCCTGACAGTCTAAGTTGGAGGAAAAGGGATTGTGGCATGTCCAGGCCCCACCTGAGGGGGCGCTCTCTCCCACTCTCTCCTGTGTGTGCATACATGCCTCTGGCATTCGAAAGAAAACAGAAGGAAAGAAAGTGCTTGGGAGGAGTGAAGGCTGCCTTTTAAAATAGGTAGTCAGGAAGACGTCACACGATGACTTTAATATAGACTTGGAGGGCGGAAAAGTGACAGAAAGTAAGAGATGAGAAAATGTGTGCTTGGAGGGTCTCATTCTCCTTGCCCCAGTGCAGTGACAAGGAGGGTGTTGATCGCTGTCTCAGAGCCCTCTCCTGAGGCCTGGCCAATGGGAAGGAGTCATCTGCACAGAGAACAGGGGAGTCGGAGGCAGCATGCAGATTCTGGCCCAAGTACTGCCTGGAGCACCTAGGCCCTCATCTCACTAAGTTCCTCTGAGGATTTTAAATCTGCATACCGAACACAGGCACGGCACCAGTGCTGCGTCTGGAACACGGTGGATGCCATGCGGTAGTTAGGTTGATACGGCGCTGCCTACGGCAGAAGGAGAACGGCTACTGTGGCGTGGCCTGCGTGTTCCTGTGGCCTGACCGACTACGTTTGCATTCTGGCTCAGCTATGTGACTCTGAACAAGTTAGATATTCTCTCTCTGGGGCTTAGTTTATCTCAGTAAAATGGAGATGATAATATTGTCTACAGAGTGGCTTTAAGGGACAAAGCATTAACCATAACTTACTGTTGTCACTACGGTATTCAGTTATCTAGTCTTTAATGATGCATTGCTGAAAATTTACACTCATGGCAAGTGGCAAGCAAATTTTAGGACCATGATCAGAAGGATGATGGGGACAGTCATTGGTTTTATAAATTTTTACAATTTTCCGGGAACATTCCAAAATTCGATCAATGGTATACTTCTGTTAGTATAGACTAGTATACTGCCATGGTTACTCTAAAATTGCATCTTTGCTTTAAAAATATGTTTTCACACAGAAATTCCAGTTCTTGGACTTGAGCCTGGGGAAATAATTATAGGTATGAACACAGTAGTTATCTTAAAGGATGTTGGTCAGAGTGTTGGAAACAGCTGACGTGTCCAATAAACCCTGGTGCATGTATACAAGGGACGTGCGTACAATGTGGACTATTGTAGAGGAATGTTTCATAGCTGGGGAAATTTTCCAGGATATATCATTAAGTAAAAAAAAAACGTGGAGCACAGAAACAGCACATTCAGTAGGACCTCAAACTTGATCTAGAAAAGTCTGGGAAGGCCCTGCCATAGTGGTGTCAGGGGGAGGGTGCCCTGTGCAGTTGCTAGGGCCACCTGAGAGGCCCTGGGTTTGGTCCCCGCCCGACTTCAGCAAGCTGTGCATCTGTGGTTATGGCTGTCTGGGAAGCTGGGCAGGAGGACTGTGACATGCTGCTATGCTATAAAAATCAGTCCTTTCTCTGCCCGCCCCCCTTTCTCTCTCCTACATTCTCTCTATCTCTCATTGAAGAATAAAGTCTGGGGGCTGGCAGGTGGCGTGGTGGTTAAAGGTGCTGGACTCCCACATGGTAGACCGTGGTTCGAGTCCTGGACCTGGCAGCTTGCTTTCTGACTCTCTCTCTCTCACTCTGTCCATCTTTGGTCAAGTTAAAAAAAAAAAAAAGTAAGTAAATAAATAAATAAAGTTTAAAAAAATTAATAAAGTCTGTAGGGGCTGGCCCATAGCCTAGTGGTTAAGGGAGCTTCAATCCCACATGACTGACCATGGTTTGAATTCCGGCCCAGATGGCTTGAAAACATGCTGGGTGCGTGTGTATGGGTACCCCAAGTTCCAAGGAGATGGAGTAATGAAGGAGAAGGGATTGCGGTGTGACCACACCCCATTGGGAGGTGCTTTCTCCCTCTCTCTCTGTCTCTCTGTCCTCTGGAAACAAACAAACAAAAAGTCTGGAAAGATATATCTTAAAGTGTTCATAACAGCCCCTTCTAGTGGGAGAATTATGGATGAGAGTTTAATTTTCTTCTCTTTGCTATTTGTATTTCCCGCAATCAAAAAAAAATTTTTTTTGAGAGGTTTTTGTCTTAGGGCATGTGCACTTGCTGGAGAGAGAGAGAGACAAAGACAATGAGACAGAAAATGAGAAATCACCCCCCAGGGGGAGAGCCACGTCGCAGTCCCTTCTCCACCATTTTCCTCCTGGGATCTTGGGCACGCATGCACCCACACGTGCCTGTTGTGAGTTTCAAGACACTGGGTCCAGGACTTGAACCATGGTTGGCATATGGGAGTCCAGAGACATAACCACTATGCTAAATGCCGGCCCCTCCACAACCAATTTTAAACTTAATGAAACAAAATGAGTATAAGCATTATTTCTTTGATAGTGCTGAGAAATCTGCTATACTAAAAAAATATAATTCACAACACAATGCCCTTCCCTTCACCCCTGCACACTCATTTCCTGTTATGTGGCTTTTGGTTAATGATTGGCCAGATCAGGTTAACAATAAAAATTTAAGGGAAATTCTATACCTGGGTTCTGCTGATTTGTTCTATTTTTCAATTTCTATAGTATTAAATTTAGAAAAAGTATTCATGGCAATGGCCCAAATGACAACCATACAGACTATATTCCAGGCCACAAGTCTGTGGTCACTGGTCTAGCTCATCTTCGTCCCCTTTTCTCGGTCACAGAACCTGGTAGGGAAGGGAGGGAGGGGGAAAGTGGCTGCCGGCCCAGCCCACAGGGCAGAGGTGGCCTTGGTCTACGCCCCCTGCCACGATGATACCCTGTCTTCACTGGAAGTGAAGCCACCGCTTTAAAAAGGAGGCGGGTTCCAAATAATATGCAGCTCAGGCAGCTGGCCAAGAGTTCAATTACCCGAACCACAGCCCAAGCTCGTCCTCAGGTGGCCGGCCCCATGGCTGCTGCCTCCCACCTGCGACTCTGTCTGCAGACCGCAGCGGCATTGGCTCTTCCCTCACCCACTGACCGGCACGTGGAAGTGGACCTTGGGCTCCTGTCCTTAGCTCTTCCCAGAGTCCCCTTAGTGACAGGGCTAAGTGAAGCCACTTTATGGTATTTGTCTTTGGCTACACAGGGGCCTGGAGTGGGATGCCGCGTGGCATCGGCCTGGATCTGTGCCCAGGGCAGGAGGGCAGGTACCTGTCGGGGGATGCGGCCGTGGTACCAGGCGTGGCTGCGCAGGTCCTCACTGCTCAGCAGCAGCTCCTCCTCCAGCTCCTTCTTCAGCCTCTCAGGGGTCTTGTCCATGACGTGCCTGTCCTTGGAGAACTGCAACACAGAGTCAGCAGTGACCTCACCCCACCAGGGCCAAGCCGGGCCATGTCAGCAGGCAACGACCGCCGGCCTCGCTTTGCTGCTCGCTGCTTTGCTAAGCGGACCCGTGTAGCCGAGGGCTCCGTCCAGGTGGGGGGCCTGGATAATGATTACATTAGCTTTGGCCTTTCGCTTCTCCAGCTGCAGGCATGTAATAAAGCTTTCACCCGCACGTGGGGACCATGGGAGGCCAGTCTATCAAGCTGTTTCTTTCTTAGTTCTTTCCAGTAGCAATGAGCTGGGCAGGGGGCATGTCGCAGAGACGGGTCACACCTAGGACTGTGGAGGCCAGGCTACTCTCTTGGGGTGGGGGAGGGGGCATCCTCATTCTCTCTCAGAAAAGTCCGAGAATGTGGAACTGGGAAGGACGGCAGTTCTCATACGGCTCTCAAGGGCAGAGAGGCCCCACTGCAGTCCTTTAGGAGTAGTGGCCCTGAATTCTTTGCGATTAGCAAACTCTACTTCAGGAATTTAATTACTCTTTAGAAACAGAATAAATGGACAGAGCAATTTTATATCTCTTGAATCTAAGAAAAGAAGTCTAGTTTGTGTTTCGTATGTCTTTTTTACTTTGTTTTTCTAATATTCCTTTTTTTTTTTTGAGAGGTTTTTGCTATAGGGCACGTGCGCTCGCCAGACAGACAGAGAGAGACAGAGAGACAAAAAACGAGAACTCACCCCCCAGGGGGGATGACCACACCACAATCCCTTCTCCTCCATTCTCCTCTCAGGATCTTGGGCACGCACACACACGCGCGTCACACCTAGGACTGTGGAGGCCAGGCTACTCTCTTGGGGTGGGGGAGGGGGCATCCTCATTCTCTCTCAGAAAAGTCCGAGAATGTGGAACTGGGAAGGACGGCAGTTCTCATACGGCTCTCAAGGGCAGAGAGGCCCCACTGCAGTCCTTTAGGAGTAGTGGCCCTGAATTCTTTGCGATTAGCAAACTCTACTTCAGGAATTTAATTACTCTTTAGAAACAGAATAAATGGACAGAGCAATTTTATATCTCTTGAATCTAAGAAAAGAAGTCTAGTTTGTGTTTCGTATGTCTTTTTTACTTTGTTTTTCTAATATTCCTTTTTTTTTTTTGAGAGGTTTTTGCTATAGGGCACGTGCGCTCGCCAGACAGACAGAGAGAGACAGAGAGACAAAAAACGAGAACTCACCCCCCAGGGGGGATGACCACACCACAATCCCTTCTCCTCCATTCTCCTCTCAGGATCTTGGGCACGCACACACACGCGCCTGGCGTGAGTTTAAGCCACCAGGTCCGGGACTTGAACCGTGGTTGACTATGTGGGAGTCCAGCGACATAGCCATTACGCTAACTGCTGGTTCCCTAATATTCCATTTTTTATGACAGATTGGAAATGGAAACTGAAAGCAAAACAAAATTGGTCCTTCACCCCGGAGTTTGAGAACCACAGTCAGGGCACCACTGAGAGGCTGGGCAGGTGGGCGACGCTTGCTCAGGTTTAACTTAGAGTCACACCTGCTTACAACATGTGTACAGAACTCGGACACCTGCCCAGTTCCCAGCAAAGCTGGGCTCAGTGAAGGGCATGATCAGGAAAAGGCCATGTCCCAGGGGCTGTCCAAGTTCCCCAGCTGCCCTCTGAACACCTACGACAGTCCAGAGTTTTCCTTATCATGCCGCTTTGCTCCTCGGCAAGGAAAGAGCTCCACATCCTTCCCCACTGAAGGGAAAAAAAAGCCAGACTTGGGATGTTAGGGCTAGATTCTTATCCCCTAGTCTCTTGTGTATGTCGGCCCATGAGGGGCACTGGTGGAATGACTTAGGGGCTCACCCCTCCTCTGCCCGCCCCTCCTCTGCCCACTCCTCCTCTTCTCACAGGTAGGCACTAGGAGAGTGTCACAGACGCTGATGTGACAGCCCACGATGCCTGTGGGCCTTAGACGGGGACGCTTGACACTGCCCGCTCCGTCATGAATGATGTATAGCCACATCTGAAGACGACTTGCTGTAAAGACTGGAGGACGGAATGGAGATTGCCGGCGCAGCCGCACCAACTGTTCCTTTACCGGCTAAAAATACCAGGCACTGGAGATGCACCGAATGAACAAATACCCCGGGAAGAGCAGTGTCTATGGCTTTTCTAAGTTATGGAGAGTCTCCCCATCTCTCTCAAGTTATCTGAAGCCAGATTTAAGCTGGGCATGTTGCCATTTAGCGAAAAGGTGACATTCCTCAATTTCTGTTTCTTAAAGGGAGATATGGTTACATGACTCAGTTCTAGCCAAGGGAGGGTGAATTTCAGGGTTGATGAGACTTCAGGGGTGAAATGTAATGGCTGGAGCCTTGACCCCATGCTTGAGCATGAGGAGGAAGCCACACCCTAGGATGGCAGAGCAGAAGGCCTGAAGGGGCTGGTCTATTCCAAGCTTGGATTGTTGGCCTCCAGGTTTTCTATGTAATCTTCTGTCACCCTGAATCCTGAAATTTGGGGTAATCCCCTCATCAGTGATGAACTGAATCCTAACAGAGATTGTGACCCGATCCCCTCTTTAGCCACTCTGAAGGCCACTTGCCTGGACCACACCCAGGTTGGCACCCTGGGCCCACTGCTTCTTGGACTGAGCTCTGGAAACACAGAGATCTGAAAACAGACAGCAGGTCTTGGGTAATCTGTCGCTAAAAGTCTATTTATTCATATCCAAAAAGCTATTCCCATGTATTTGTTTAAAAGTTGTATTGATTTATTTCTTCCATGAGAGAGAGAGAGAGAGGGACAGAGAGATTGGCACCTCTACCAGAGTCCTCACACCATGACCTGCCTTCCCCCGCCTCAGCCAGGCTGGATCAGAGGCGCGTGCACAAGCCTGGTGTGCACAGGGCAGGGACGTGAACCCGGGACCTTCCCATGAGTTGTTCACAGAGCCTTGTGCCACCGCCAGACCACTGAGGTTGCATGCCGTTTCCATATTTAACTTCCTACTCTCTCCCTCCCTGAGGCCGCAACACTCAGACCACCTGCCTGCCCATTCCGCATCACTCCTAACAGCGGGGGTTTTGTTTTTAGCATTTGTACATCACAACCTTTCACTGTAGGGTTTGATAGCATACTGTTTCATACTTGCTACCAAAAATATATAGTCAACTTGTTACTTCTGTCCTCACTGCTCAGGGGAGGAGCCACAGCATTGCTCCTTCCTCTGTGGACCCTGGAGAGGGCACTGTAGGAGACAGGGGCCTATTGGATAGGACCTAGAGAGAGAAAGGAGGTCACTCAGATTGGCCCTCTTGAATAATTCAGAGTTGAAGACCAGACTCCAGAAACATGTCCTTAAGGTCTGGCGAGAAGTTAGGAGGTTACAACTGCCTAGATTTGTATTTTAAAGGGAAAG